CCTAGTTGTTGTTTACCACCCTCTGTTTTTGTTTAACTCTTAGTTCCACCCTAGATGTTGTTCATTAACAATGCTCTTGTTCAACACACCCAGGTCTTGGGTGCCACTACAATACTTGTGTAACACCTACAATTGTTAACCACCTTAAGCTCTTGCTCACCTACCTAGTTGTTGTTTACCACCCTCAACTCTTGTTCACCATCCTAGCTGTTGTTCACCACCCTCAGCACCTGTTCACCACCCACAGCTCTTGTTCACCTACCTAGTTGATGTTTACCCCCCTAACACCCTCAGCTCTTGTTTACCACCCTAGCTATCGTTCAACACCATCAGTTCTTGTATATCACCCACAGTTCTTGTTTACCACCCCAACTCTTTGTTACCAACCTAGTTGTTTTTCATTAACCTAGCTGTTGTTTACCACCCTGAATAATTGATTGTTTACCACTCTCAGCTCTTGTTTCATTAACCTAGCTGTTGTTTACCACCCTTAATACTTGTTTACCACCCTTAATACTTGTTTACCGCCCTTAATACTTGTTTATCACTCACAATTCTTGTTGACCACACTCAGCTCTTGTTTCATTAACATAGCTGTTGTTCACCACCCCCAGGTCTTGTTTGCCACCCACAATACTTGTGTAACACCCACAATTCTTGTTTGACACCCTAAGCTCTTGTTTGCCACCCTAAGCTCTTGTTCACCTACTTAGTTATTGTTTACCATCCTCAGCTATTGTTCACCACCCTGGGTTATTTTTACCACCCTAGCTGTTGTTTACCACCCGTAGGTCTAGTTTAACAGTCACAATTCTTGTTTACCAACCTACATTTGTTTACCACCCTCAGCTCTTGTTCACCACCCTCGTTCCTGTTTACCACCTGCAAATCTTGTTTACCACTTCCAGCTCTTGTTGACCACCCTCAGCTCTTGTTTACCACCCCCAATACTTGTTTACCACTCGCAATTCTTGTTTGCCAACCTCAACTTTTGTTAACCACTTTAAGCTCTTGTTCACCAGCCGATGCTCTTGTTGCTGTTAACCACCCTCGGCTCTTGTTTACCACCCTAGATGTTATTGATTAACCCAGCTCCCGTTTACTACCCAAAAACGTTTACTGCCTTCAGCTCTTGTTTACCACCCTCGGTCTTTGTTTACCACTCGTAGGTCTAGTTTACCACCCTCCGTTCCTGTTCACCACCCGCAGTTCTTGTTTACCACTTCCAACTCTTGTTCACCACCCTCACATCTTGTATACCACCCCAATATTTGTTTACCACTCACAATTCTTGTGTACCACCGACAATTCTTGTTAACCACCCTAAGGTCTTTTTTACCACCCTCAGCTTTTGTTCCAGCTTTCTTAAACTAATAGGGAATGTCAGGAATTCGCGCTTTTGGGAATCCGATTCTAAAAATCTTCAAAGGGTGGGATCTCCCACACACTATATAAAAAATCCTTAAATTTGCCGGGAAATGTCAAGAAAAAACGCTTCCGGGCTTAAAAAAAAAAAACAAATGCAGAGCCACGTGAGGTTTGTAGGTGACATGAATATCGAGACTAAATTTCATAGAAGTGATTCAAAAAAGTGGTGGCCAAATTGACTTTACACCGGTTGACTATAAATAGCCATCCACTGGGACAGCGATTATCAATTATAAGTAGATGTTATTTTCGTACATTTTTCTGAAAAGAAAAAGCGTTTCTAATGAACATAAAAAAACATTATAATGCATGTAACGCTAGCTAGCCTTCACAGCTAATAATGTCAGTCTCTAGAGAAATTAAAGTTTTAAAAACGGGTGGCAAATAAAAAATGAGGGTGGCGAATAATTGTTTGCCACCCGGGTGGCGAATATCCTCGGCCTTTCAGGGCTGCGTTATGCGAAATGGTTCAACAAAATACTAAGTATTCCTATCTGTAGACCTACTTAAGAACTGTTTTTAAATATCTTTCTGTTTATACTTAGCTGAGGATGAAACCAGACATCATAGCTTTTCATAACATTTTTAAATTTAATTAAATTAGAATAGATAATTTGATACAGTTGAGTTCGTTGAAAATCATAAAAAGTCTGCAGTAAAGCGTCATTAGTAACAAAATTATTGGTCTGATACTGGATTGTAATCTGTCCGTCTCAAAATTCAAAAGATTTGATTGGTTGATTATAAATACCAATTGACATATATTATCCTAAATTGTATTCATATGAATCAAACAACCAAACGTAGGAAAAATGGATAAATATTTGATCAAAAAAGACAAATTGCTTGATGGTTCCGGCACTACTACGACTGACACTGGTATCAAAACCACAGCGGGCAACACAACGGATGCAGTACCAAGATGCTCTGAAAAGACAGGAGTACCAGGTGACATTGGAAAAGAAGACGTTCCAAAGCAACCGAGAATAAAATTTCCAGCGAAGTCTGGTCGCCATTTTAGTAACAGCTGGTATGATCGACTTCCATGGCTGGAGTATTCAGTGTCAAGGGACACCCCTTTTTGATTTCCATGTCGGGTGTTTCACAATACATCTGCGGGTGCATAAAAATTCATCACTGAAGGCTACACAGATTGGAAGCATGCTGTAGGTGATACTGGAAAAGGCCTCGAGAAGCATAACAATTGAAGTGTCAAAACAATTTCTCCAAGATAACGTTGCCAAGATAGAAAATCAGGTCCGGACTCCAATCT